AGCTGCCCCATCAGGACCACGCTCTTGGGGAATGGAGCTGAGACCCGGTGTTCCTCTCTCAGCACTGCAGAAACAGAGTTTTCCCACTGACCTTCTAAGTTGTCTTTGGCATTCATGGATTGAGGAGTCTGGAAACCACCACAGCTACCCTCTGAGGCCTGCTCCAGGTTCACTGCGGCCTGTGCACCCACACCACACCGCACTCCGCTCCCAGCCCAGAGCGATATACCTTTCTGATCAATCATTCAGGTTGTCTTGGGCCAGAAATTTGTTTCACTCCCTCTTTTTGTGGGTTCTGCTGCTTTAGAATTTGTTTAGTGCCATTTTTTATGAGTATTTGGAGGGGTTTGGGGGAGAGCTCAAGCAAGCCACTGCTTTCACTCTGCCATCTTCCTTTTTCTACTTCTATTAGTCATCAAAATGTTCATGCAAAACAGCAGCAACATCTTATATAATTTAATAATCAATATAAATCTCTTCTTTTATGTAAAAATATTTTTCTGTTCTTTTCATCACTAAATGGTTCCATTTAACTTAAAGGGATAAAGTACATTACACTTTAATGGACCTATGATCTCATCAGTGTTGGCACCCTCCCTTTCTCCTCCAATACATACTCTTGTCTATGTTCCCCATTAAATCCTCCAAAGAAGGTTCATCCAATTTTCTGGGGACCCTCTAATTGGTCTCTTATCTCATGTCCCTCCACTCCAATTCGTCTTCCATTCAAGTGATTTTTCTAATGTGTAGATCTGACACTGTTACCCTCCCCCACAAAATTCAATAAGCTCCAGTGGCTCCTTAATACCTCTAGAATCAAATAAAGTACTCTGTTGTTTTTTTTTAATGCTTTTCATAATCTGGCCACTACTTAGTATTCCAGTCTTATTTATTCCCCTCAATGCACTTTAAATCCAGCAATACTAGATGACTTATTATTCCTCAGACACAACACTGCATTTCTTGCCTCTCTGCCTTTTCCCCCTTAGCTAGAATCCTCTGGCTTTCCCCATGCCTGGAATGCTCTCCCTCCTCCTCTCCACCTTTTAGTTTCCCTGATTTCCTTTAAGACTCATCTCATATCCCACATTCTGCAGACCTTGCCCAGTCTCCCTAGCTGACAGAACTTTCCATCTATCTCACTATTCACACTATTCATCCATTAGACTGTGATATCCTTGAAGACATCAACTGTTTTTGCCCTTTTTTGTATCCCCAGGACTTAGCACACTGCCTGTCACAAAGTAAATGCTTGGTAAATGCCTATCAATTTGATTTCCTCTAGATCTCTAGACATTATTACACCGACATTATTAAACCAATGTATTATGTGGACTATTACTTATTTTTACCACCTGACCAATCTACCACTTTTTTAATCAGGCATGTATTTGATATCTTTTACATTATTTGGTAATGCATGCAAAGTTTTGTGCATGTAATTTTTCATGCATCTCTGAATTACTCATTTTAGCCAGCAATTTTAATTCCTCATAAACTATGATTTGTACCTGTATAGCATCATTAGAAACATATTCACATTAAAGATGGAATTTTGAGGAAGGTCTTTGTGCTTAATAAAAGCCTTTAACAATTTCCCAAATGCAATTCGGCCCACTCTTCTTCATATTCAGTACTGGGCCAAAGTCATCGCCCATCTGCATTATCTGACCAGGATATATGTGATAATGGACCAGTCGTTCAACCAACTAAATATCATTTTGTAGACAACAGACATTTTTGTATCCTCAGTTTTTCCTATATGGATAGGGTAAATTCTTGTGTGATTATATTTTTTTAAGTCTCTGCAACGTCTGTACCTTGATAAAATCAGAATAGATTTACATGACAGAAACTGGAGATCTAGTTCCATTCCATAATTACTTATTCACCTATTATGTGAAGAAAGTACAGTGTTAAGCACTGAGGGAAATTTAAAAACTAAATAAGAGACGGTCACCAACTTCATGGAGTTTACAATCTAAGAGAAGAATATGGTATTTTTAAAATAACTATGATAGAAAATATGACAAGATGAATGCCTTTAATACTTCATACAAAGTACTTTTTAAGATCTCAGGAAGAAAAGGTCACTACTCACTGGGGGCATCTAAGGAAATTTCATGGAAAGGGGGACATTTGAACTGAAATAAATTAAACAGGCAAAGGTAGAGAAAAGTGCATTACAGAGGAAGAAATGTTTGAGCAAAGTTGGGGAAGCATTGTACATATGAGAGACAGTGAGTGGTCAATATTGTCCAAAATGTTGTAAGTTGAAATAAGACTGGAAAGTTAAAGTGATGACATACTGTGGAACCTCGGATGCCAAAGTAAGAAGTTTGGAGCTATGAAGGATTTTTGTACAGTAGAATAAAATGGTTACACCTTTGCAAAAGATAAATTAATTTAGTAGTAATATAAAGGATGTATTGAAGAAGGCAGAGAATGAAGGCATGAAGACCAGTCCAGGGGCTATGGTAGAAGCCCACGCAAGTGATGAGGGCTTATAGGAGAAAGGGAGCAATGGGAATATAAAAGAATGAACAGAGATGAGATATACCATATACGAAAATGGAATCGCTAGGACTTGACAATTGAATGTAGGAGGGGTTTGAGAGGGAAGAGTCAAAGACAATAGCAAGATTTCAAACTCAAAATACTGGCTGAAAGATGCTATTGACAAAAACAGAAAAGCCAGAAGGAATATCAGATTTTAGCAAAGTGAGTTTTAAATACCAGTTGGGACATCCAGTTATCAGCCCCAATTTTTTATTTTAAAATATCCAGTAGTCAGTTGAAAATGTGAGTCTGGGACTTAGTAGAAAGCACAGCACTAGACATAACAATTTAGGAATCACCCACATAAAAGGAAAGCCCTGGAAATGGGTGAGATTTCAAGGAAAAGAGATAAAAGAGAAAAGAAAAGAGGGCTAGTGAGAATACCTTGGGAAATACCTACACTAAGAGATTTTTTTAAAACTGTGCCACCTCCACCAGTGATTTCTTCATTGTGCATTTGGTCTTGTCCCACTGCTTTTTCCATCTTCCACTTTCTCAGTGCCTTTTCCACTTTTTCATATAGCACCTATGAGATTGACGTGTGTGGTCCAAATATGGTAGTTGCACTGCCATTGATGATGAAAATAATTTGTCATAGAACTGCTGTTCTAATTCTACTTTTTTTTCTTCTTCACTTTCATCTATAAATGTCCTTGGGATGATTTGACTTGGTTCAATCTCATGCTATCTCTATTCTTTGCTGTTTTATGAATGATACTTCTCATAATTTTCTATCATTTTCCTTGGTAATCTTTTAAAATAAATGAATAGTCTAAGTAATAAGAGCTAGCATTTATTAGGTAGGTAACACTTTACATAGATTAGCTTGTTTGATTCTACAGCAACACCATAAGTCAGGTGCTATTATTCTCCTCGTCTTATAGATGAGAAAACTGAATCTAAGAGTGGCTTGCCCTGGATCACATAGCTCATAGGAATCTAATACAGGATTCAAACTCAGATATTCTTGACTCCCAATACAGCACTCTATCCACTATGCCACCCAGTTGTCTCACCTGTTGCCCTTGGCTATCATGTCATTCCATTTGTCAAGATCAAGTGTTTGCTTGATGGCTAACTCTTTTCTGGGTTCTTTCAGCATTATTTTTGTGGCAATTTCTTTATAAACTCGTATAGGAGTCAACTTGTTCTTTATTAATGACTGTTCTAATCTATATCTTATTTTTCAGCATCAAAAGTTCATTTGACTAGAACATATTGAAACCATTTTAATTGCACACAGTTACTTATCTTTTCCTCTTTTTCTACTTTGGTGTTGAATTTATCTTTTTTTCTTGCAGTTTTTCTTCTTTTTAGGAAATTGGAGTTAAGTGACTTGCCCAGGGTCACACAGCTAGTAAGTGCCAAGTGTCTGGTCTGAGGCCGCATTTGAACTCAAGTCCTCCTGACTTCAGGGCCAGTGCTTAATCCTCTGCGCCACCTAGCTGCCCCTCTTTTTTTTTTCTAAGGTGGTCTCACTGACTACAAACAACTAATTTAAAAGTAACTGTCACATCAGTTACAAGTTATTTCCAATCTTTTAAGATATAGTCCATTTCATTTTTTGTGATGATGTTGAACTTTCTAAGTCCAACATTTTTTTTTTGCAAGGTAGTTGGGGTTAAGTGACTTGCCCAGGGTCACACAGCTAGCAAGTGTCAAGTGTCTGGTCTGAGACCAGGACCAGTGCTCTATCTGCTGCACCACCTAGCTGCCCCTAACAGTCCTTTTTTTTTGCCTTTTCGTTGAGGCTAGTAAGTGTCATGTGTCTGAGGTCACATTTGAACTCAGGTCCTCTTGACTCCAAGGCTGGAGTTCTATCCACTGCACCACCTAGCTGCCCCCCTAAGTCCAACATTTTCTAACTCTCTTTATTAAGAAAGTGTTCCTGAAAGTGGGGTCATCCACTGAGCTATCCACAAACTCTTCTTGTTTCTTAATCTTGAACCATTTTTACAACATATTTTCATTGCTGAAGAAAGAAATGGCAAACCACAACAATATCTTTGCCAAAAAAAAAACCCCTAAATGGGGTCACAAAGCATCAAATATGGTTGAAACAACTAAACAACAACAAAAGATTCTTACCTGAGCTCAAAGAGTATACATTCTAATGGCAAAATACATATAAAGGGGGACCGAATTAGGAGATGCTGAACCTAAGTATGGCACAGACATGGCCAAGAAGAAGTGGTAAGGTAAGACAAAGGCTCACCTATCAAAGCCCAGTGTCCCAGGGGCAGAGTCCAACATTCCAGTTCCAGTGGGAGGTGGATGAGGATAATGGCAGCATGGTGTGGAGATGGCCATTGAGATCTAGAGACAGCTACAGTGCTCTGGCAGCTGCACTGAATTGTTCCCAAAGTTGAAGCAATGAAAGAGAAAAGATCCTAGAGTCACAATATAAGAATGATGATGAATGGACAAAAACTATTTTGCAGGTTTGGCTCAAGCTAATGCAATGCCATCACCACGCACACTAAAAACTCACCTTCCCATCCAGCTATTGCCACCATCCTTCTTGGAGAAGGGCTGTAAGGTAAGGAGCAAGAGATACACATTGGAACCTCTTAAAGCAGGCTTCAGCCAGTCTTCTAGAAACAAACTTCTCCTGGTCTCAAAGGCCCTAATCTACTACTAAGTCCAGTAATTTGGTTTTTATGGGAGTAGAGGAGGGATGGACCTATGATTTCGTTGCCATAAGGAATTACCAGACAGTCTTATCAATACAGTTAGGTACTATTTCCAACTTATGGTCTTAAGGAGTTACCTAGACCAATGAGAGCTACAGTGACTTACTCAGGGTCACATAATCAATATGTATTCAAGGAAGGACTTGAACCTACATCTTTCTGACTCTGAGGTTAACTCTCTACCAACTATGCCCTGCTGTGTCCAGTAACATTTCCTTATCATGATTACTTTGGAATCCTTTCTATCACTCACAAAAATAGCAAATCACTCACAAGAAAGCAACCTCTAAATGTAATTATGAGATAGCATTGAGATCACCAAACCTAAAAAAAGGCCTAAAGAGGTAAGTAGAACCAAGAGAACATTGTATACAGCAACAGCAATATGTTTTAAGAATGGCTTTGAATAAATAAGTTATTTTGACTATTATAAATACCCAAATTAGCAGACTTACAGACTCCTATATATGTTTATGCCACCACAGCACCTAGTCAATATTAGCGCTAGGTGACTAACTAGAAGTCAATTTGTCCAAAGGCTTCATTTCACAGATGAGAAAACTGAGACAGAAGGAATAAACAGTTGACAAATGAATCAATGATAACTAACTTCGATTGCAATTTTTTTCTCTATACATTTCATGCTTCTTTTTTCTCCCCTCCCTCATGACCAATTTCAGATAATCTACATGGCAAGAAATGCCAAGGACAATTTGGTGTCCTATTACCATTTCCAAAAGATGAATGCAGCACTTCCTGATCCAGGAACCTGGGAGGAGTATTTTGAAGATTTCCTGGAAGGAAAAGGTGACAGAATCCAATTATACTGTTGCTGCCAACAAAACTTTGAAAATATAAAGAAATCTTTGAACCTTTCATGAGGAGCTCAACCCTCTTTTGTTTTTAATATCAAGGAATTAGTAGGGTGACCCACACTCTCTCCTGAATGCTTCTTCCACTCAAATGAATTTACACATTTTTTTACCTGTCTTTCAGTGTGCTGGGGTTCCTGGCATGATCATGTGAAAGGATGGTGGGATGCAAAAGACAAATATCCCATTCTCTACCTCTTCTATGAGGACATGAAGAAGGTGAGGGATAGATCCAATCTGTCAATCAATAGTATTTACTAAGGGTCCACAAGGTGCATATAACTATACTAGGCACTTAAGATAATTTAGAAAGTAGAAGACTGGCCTGATAAGAACCTTATCATGTTCAACAGATGCTATATTTTAATTATTGCTTTACCAAAGTAGTATTAGTAAGGTTTTTTAAATGTATAATTGCATCGTTGCTGTGTATGAAGGAAATCGATTCTCTTGTAATGATTCTAAGAACTAATCACAGAAGCTCTGGATATTTTGCCCAGTGAAGGTGGCATCTTTATAAACTTTCCCCAGAACAATGCTCTGTACCTTTCTCTCTGGTATTACAACCTAGCCCTAAAGTCAACAGCAAGCACTATGTAAGAGCCACTGTGCTAAGTACTGAGGATACAAAGATAAGAAAAACTTGTCCTTCCCCAGAGTGATGCTCTAGGCCTCTTACTCTGTTATTATTTCCTAATCATAAAGTCAAGTCAGCAAGCATTCATTAAGTGTTTACTATGTACCAGTCATTGTGCTAAGCACTGCAGATGCAAAAACAAGAAAAAAGGAGCTTACCTAGAGGAAGATAGTGATAATTAAGATAATTATGTCCAAAGAGTTATTAAACTGCCTATACCCTTTGACCCAGCAATACCACTACTTGTCTATTTTTGAAGATAATTAGGGAAAAGGGAAAAGAACCTACATGTTCTAAAATGTTTATAGCAGCTCCCTTTGTGGTGGCAAAGAATTGGAAACTGCAGGGATTTTAGAAAGACATGGAAAGACTTGAGCAAAATAAGCAGAACCAAGAGAACATCACATACAGTAATAGCAATATTGTTTTAAGAATGACTTTGAATGAATAAGTTATTTTGACTATTCTAAAAACCCAAATTCTAAAGGACATGTGAAGCCACTCTATGCATCCAAAAAAAGAACTAATAAATAGAAATAAGTATAGAATAATTATACATATATATGTACAGTGTGTGTGTGTGTGTGTGTGTGTGTGTGTGTGTGTGTGTGTGTGTGTGTAATGGTAACCATCTCTAGGGTGAGGGCAGAAGGGAAGAGACAAAAAATTTACATGATAATTTTGTTGTGTATTTGAAAGGAATACCAAGTTGTGCCTAGTAGATTTGCAGTTTCATGTGTAATCATCTTTTTTTATTGTACTATGTTATGGAAATGCTTGTTTTATTCCATAAATAAAAAATTAAATTTAATAATGAAAAAAATTGTGGGAAACTGAAAAAAATCTAATGCACTTTCTACTATATTGTACTATGTGTTACACTGGGTTGAATGTTTTCACTATCATAAGTACTATGTAACACACTATAATACACTATGAAAGTTCTATGTCATAAGCAAATGTGTCAAGCTGGAGAGTATTTACGGAAAGAAAGAGAAAAAATATCAGAAGTAGAAAAAGTACCCTTGAGAAGGGTACTTTTCTGTAGAGGTAGTGCCTCAGTTTTAGATTTAACATGGAAAGGATTTTTTTAGATTATTATTTATTTCTTTTTCACATTCTTTTTTTTAAATTTTAAGTTCAAATTATCTCCTCCTCTTGAGAAGGTAAGCAATATGATTATTAATTATATGTGTGAAGTCATGCAAAACATACTTCCATATTAACCATATTACAAAAAAAAGCAAGAAAAATGAAGTGAAAAAATTATACTTCAATCTGCACTCAGAATTCATTAGTTTTCTCTCCAGAAGTATATAACATTTTTCAACAGGAGCCCTTTGAAATTCTCATGTATCATTGTATTGATGAGAATAGCTAAGGCTTTCACAGTGGGTCTTCCTTACAATATTGCTGTTATTCTATATAATGTTCTCCTGGTTTTGCTCACTTCACTTTGCATCAGTTCATGTAAATCTTTCCAGGTTTTTCTGAAACCATCCCCCTGGTCATTTCTTAGAGCAAAATAATATTCCATTACAATTATATACCACAGGGGGCAGCTAAGTGGCACAGTGGAAAGAGTACCGGCCCTGAAGTCAGGAAGATCTGAGTTCAAATTCAGCCTCAGACCAAATACTTGACACTTACTAGCTGCATGACCCTGGGCAAGTCACTTAACCCCAATTGCCTAAAAATAATAATAATTAAAAAATTTAAAAAAAAACAATTATATACCACAACTTATTCAGCCATTCCCCAATTGACGGGCATCCCCTCAATTTCCAATTCTTTGCCACCACAAAAAGGGCTGCTATAAATATTTTTGAACAGGTGGGTTCTTTTCCCATTTTTATAATCTCTTTGGGATATAGACCTAGAACTGGTATTGCTAGGTCAGAGAGTATGCAGTGTTATAGACCTTTGGATGTAGTTCCAAATTGTTCTCCAAAATAGCTAAACCAGTTCACAACTTCACCAATAGTGCATCAGTGTCCCTATTTTTCCACATCTCCAGCATTTGTCATTTTTCTTTTCTGTTATGTTAGCTAATCTGATAGGTGTGAGGTAGAATCTTCTTTTAATTTGCATTTTTCTAATCAATAGTGATTTAGAGCATGTTTTTCATGTGACTATATCTCTGATTTCTTCTTCTGAAAGCTGCCTGTTCATATCTGTTGATTATCAGTTGAGGAATAGCTCTCATTTTTATAAATTTGACTCAGTTCCTTGCACATTTAAGATATGAGGCATTTATCAGAGAAAATTGCTGAAAATTTTTTTGCCAGTTTCTTGTTTTCATTCTAATTTTGGCTACATTGGTTTTGTTTGTGCAAAACCTTTTTAATTTCATATAATCAAAATTATCCATTTTACTTCCTGTGATTCTCTCTCCTTCTTGTTTGGTCACGAATTCTTGCATCCATAGATCTGACAGGTAAATTCTTCCACGCTCTCATAACCTGCTTACGATATCACTCTTTGTGTCTGAATCATATACCCATTTCGACTTTATCTTGTTATATGGTGTGAGAAGTTGGTCTATGCTGTTTCTGCCAAACTGCTTTCTAGTTTTCCCAGCAATTTTTGTCAAATAGTGAGTTCTTGCTCCCAAAGCCTGGATCTTTGGGTTTATCAAACACTAGATTAAACAATATATTGTTGGATTCTGGTTTCTAATTCACTTTGATTTTTAGGGTGAGCTTACCCCATTCACATTCACAATTATGATTACTAACTGTGCATTTCTAGGAGCAAACTCTCTTGAACCAGTAAATTTCTAAATTTAGAATAATTACTTAAGCTTTTCCCAATACAAGTAGTCATATGTTCAGTTTTTAACACTGATGAATCAATTTCAGTATTCGCATTTTTCAGCCTTATTCTTTGTTGACAATGAATTCTTTCTCTTTCCACTCTCACACAGAGCCCAAAGTGTGAAATTAGAAAGATAATGGAATTCATGGGGAAGAACCTAGATGAAGATGCTTTAGATAAAATCATCTATCATACCTCTTTTGACATAATGAAAAAGAATCCGATGGCAAATTACACATCAGTTCCTGGTGAAATTATGGACCACTCTGTTTCCCCATTCATGAGAAAAGGTGTCTACATTTTTTCTATTATTTTCTTAAGAATATTCTCTTCTTATATTTCAAGTCATTTAGAAATTTTCATTTACCCTTCTCTAGCTCAGAATCACAGCTACTCAGATAGTTATAAATATAGATCTTTCAAGAATGGACATACTTGTCAAAATAAAATAATTGTTTTAAGGGGTGGCTGATGAAATGACAATTAATCTTGTATTTAGGAGAATAATCTAAAAGTACCCATTAGAAGTTACAAAAAATATCACAACAAAAAATAATATCCTCAACCCAGTAATTCCATTACTTTGAAAATACTATTTTAAAAGGAAAACAAATGAACAAAAAAGAACTATCTGTTGAAAGATTTTCATAATAAAATTATATGTAGTTAAAAATAACTGGGATAGGAATATAAGGACCAGACCTGTGATTTCACAAATACAGGAACTCCCAGGTGAGAAGACTTCATCTGTCAATGCAGATCAGCACTTCTCTACAACTTAAAGACCTTAGAGGGCTGCCTAGAGCACTGAGAGGTTAAGCGATTTGCCCAGGGTCACATAGCAAATATGTGTCAAAGGTGGGAATTGAGCCCAAGTCTTTTTGGCTACTACACTAGAGCTTTATCCTTTACTTACAACAGCAACAAAAAGGCACAGTTAAATAAATTGTTGTATATTCATGAAATGGAATACCATAAGGTAACTGAGACCAACAAGCAAGAAAAAGGCAAGGACATCTGAGAAGACCTTATGAGATAACGCAAAAACATAAATAGGCAGCTAGGTGGCGCAGTGGATAGAGCACTGGCCCTGAATTCAGGAGGAACTGAGTTCAAATCCGACCTCAGACACATAACACTTACTAGCTGTGTGACCCTGGGCAAGTCATTTAACCCCATGGCCTAGCCAAAAAAAAAAAAAGCGAAACCAGATGAATGGAGAATATACTGTGACCATATGCGAGGTAAAGTGAATGAAAATGAACACAGAATACTGGTGAGGATGTAGAGGAAGTGAATACAAAATTGTTATAATATTTTATGTATTTAAATTAACTAACTGAAGCATAAATAACCATTAAGCAAGTGTAGTTGGTTGTATTTATATTTAACATTAAGCTTTTAATAAAACTGGGAGGGGGAAGGAAGGAAAGAAAATACTTTAAATGGCCACTAAATCTCTCCATCTGTGATGCAGGGTCTGTAGGAGACTGGAAGAGCTACTTCACTGTGGCCCAGAATGAGAGATTTGATAAAGACTACAAGAAGAAAATGATGGGTACCACTCTGACTTTCTGCTCCAGTGTCTAAGAAGAAATCAGAAGGAACCCAAATGTATGAAGACTTTATCTGCAACTCTTGAATTCTCCTATCATTTATACTAGCACTATCTTACAGCATTGTTTTAAGGATATTTATAAAGTGCTTTGCAAACCTTAAAGTGCTATATACGTATTAGTCATTGTTATTGTTATTATTATGTTTAGTCATCATCATTCTGCTAATTAAAAGGATTGCATTTTTTTTTGTTCATTCCCTTCTCAAGAAGCTAGAAATTCTGTGATTAAAGTTGTCATGGACTTAATATTATATGTCCAAAACATAACTCATTATCTTTCACCCTAAACCTTCCCCACTTCCTACCTTCCATATTATTGTAGATGGAAACATCACCCTCCCAGTCTCTCAGGTTCACAACCCAACAGTCATCCTGGATTCCTCACTATCCCTAACCCCCCAGCTCCCACCTCCATATCCAAGCAGTTGCCAAGGACTGCCAATTTTACCTTTGCAACATCTCTCTTACATTCCTCTGACGCTGCCACCACTCCAGTGTAGTCCCTCACCACCTGGACTACTGTTATTGCCTGCCTCAAGTCTCTCCCCACTCCAAGCCATTCTCCATTCAACCACTAAAGTGATTTTCTTGAAACACAGGTCTTGAAATATCATGTCACCAAAACCTCCCACCCCAACCTCTCAATAAACTCCAATGGCTTCCTATCTCCTCCAGGAGCAAATATAAAATGCTCTATTTGGCATTCGAAGCCTTTCAAAACCTAACCCCCTGCTACCTATTCAGTCTTCTTACACTCTACTCCCTGACACATGTTCTTCAATCTAGTAACACTGGCCTCCTGGCTCTTCCGTGAACAAGATACTCATTTTTCAGCTCTAGGCTCTTTTTCTGGCTGCCCTCCATGCCTGGGTGCTCTTCCTACTCCACTCAAATTATTGACCTCCCTGGCTTTCTATGAGTCCCAACTAAGATCCTCCCTTCTATAGGAAGACTTCCCTAACCTTTACTAATTCTAGTACTTTTCCTTTTAAAAAATTATTTTTTATTTGTCCTGAATATAGCTTACTTTGTATGCATTTGTTTATATATTGTCTCCCTATTAGATTGTAAACTCCTTGAGAATAAGGGCTGTCTTTTGCCTCTTTTTGAATCTCCAGAGTTTAACACAATATCTGGCACATAGTACATGTTTAACCAATGTTTATTGAATTGAATTTTGTATTGGCATCATAGCTAAACCTTTTATAAACCATGTTCGTTATAAACTAACCAAGAGTCTATCTTCATGTAAATTAAAAAGTTGAATTAAGTTTGAAAGTGAAAGATGGAAGAATAAGGCAGGAAATTACCTGGCTCTCCCAACTTCCCCCACAAATAATTTAAAATAATGCCTCAAAGTCAATTTTAGAGTGGCAGAAATAATTAAAAGTCAGGGTAAAGCACTCATTCAGCCCAAGACAACTTGGGGGGACATTAGGAAAAACCTGACCTCCAGGACTGGTGGTCTGATCTGATTGAAGTATAGTTGCCTCCAAGCAAATACCATTGAATCAACAAATAAGCCCTGGGGGCAGCTATGTCATAGGTAGCCTTGGCTCCCAGCAATTTTCATTCCATGGACGATATGGGAGTTGGGTGGCTAATCAGGGAAAGATTGTAGAAGCCCTCCACTGGCACTGAATGCAGGGCCCAGGGATACTGACCAAGGAGTGAGAACACAAAAATATGTAGCTCATAGAGGGGAGGGGCCCTGCTGGTTGTGGTCACTTACAGGAGAGCAGAGATCCCTATTTCAGTCCCTGGGCAGAGGAGCAAGCTCACACTTGCAGCCACCTTAAGGTCTGCAGGGAGCAAGAGCATTTGGGGCAGCCGTGCTGGAGGTCTTGGTCATAGCTCAGGGGCAGAGAGGAATACTTGATGTGAGCCAGAGAAGCAGTGACCACACCTTGCCTTGGATTATAGAACATTGGAAGAACCAAGAGATCAAAGACTCCCAGATAGAGCTCAGAAAACAACAGCACAAAAAATCTGCAGCCTGAAACATTATCCTCCATACCCCAGGAGCAAAATCTGACCCTGACATAAAGTTAAAAACCAGAAAAATAGGCTGTAGAAAAAAGTGGCGGGAAAAAAAGAGAAAGAACCCAACTATGGATAGCTACTATGGTGATAGAAAAGATCAGAAAAGAAGTAGACAAAAGCTTCTTGTGAAGTTTCAAAGAAAAATGTAAAATGGTCACAAGCCCAAAAAGTATTCTTGAAAGAACTCAAAAAGGACTTTAAAAATAAAATAAGAGGCTCTGATTCTTATAATCTAGCCACTGCCCAGATTTTTGCAATCTAGCCTATAGCCCACAGATGCTCAGATTCCTTAAGAGTCTGGCTAATATGGTGGATCTTTAATAAACCTTGTTTTTGGCTGAAAAATAAAATAAAATAAGAAAGCTGAGGAAAAATTGGGAAAAGAAATGAGTAATGCAAGAAAAGCAAGAAAATTATGAAAAATCAACCAATTAGAAAAAGAAATCCAAAAACTTACCAAACAAAATTTCAATTTTACCACTATAGGCCTTAGAAATTGGAAAAGTCCACCAATCTCAGCCTGAAAGAGATCCTAAAACTACATGAGCACCTCAACAGATACAGAAAAGGCCTCTGAGAAAGTTCAATGCTCTTTTTCTACTTAAAAAAATGTACAAAATATAGGCAGAGAGGGACCTTTTTTTACTATCATAAAAAGCATTTATCTAAAACAAGCATCATATGCAATGGAGATATACTAGAACCTTTCCGAATGAATACAAGAAGCGAAGATGCCCATTCTCCCTACTATTTTTTATATAGTTCTAGAAATGCTACTAATAGCAAAAAGAATTAAAAGAATAAAGATAAGTAAAGAGAAAATAAAACTATCCTTATTTGCTGATGATATGATGATTTACTTGGAAAACTGTAGGAAATCAACAAAGATACTAACTGAAACAATACCTTCAACAAAGTTGCAAGCTACAAAACAAATCTTCAAATATTGACAACATTTCTATATGGTAAAAAAAAAAACACCAAGAAACAATAATAGAAATGGAAATCCTATTTCAAGTACTACCAAGTACAAAAAATATCTGGTTATCAACCTCCCAAAGTACACAAAACACTTGTAGAGATTCAGTTACAAATCAACCCCCCCCATCCTCAGTTTCACCTCATGCCCTGCAAACTGGTAAAAATAACCCAAAAATGTCAATGTTGGAGGGGTTGTGGAAATATTAATTGGTAGGGCTGTGAAATTATATAACCATTTGGAAAGCAATTTGGAATTATGCAAAGCAAGTGACTAAAATGTCCATATCCTTTGAATCAGAAACCTCATCACTGGGCTTATACCCACAGAACCCATCAATAAGAAAAAAAGTCCATATAGTACCAAAAGCTGTCCCTCAGCAAAAGAAAAAAATAAAACCTAATAATAATACATGATTCATATGGTACCTTGCAAAAGACTTGCTATATTCTTCTATCTGATCTTTTGTAATAAGTGATACAAGGCCCTGTCTTGACCAACATTCAGTGCAGTACATGATTATAATGATTCCCATATCTTTCAGGTCCCATTGTTGAATGAGACTTTGGTTTAATAGTATATTAAAAGAATACTGTTCTGAGTGTCAGGACATCTCCGTTTTAGTCCAGGGCAAATCGCTTAATTTTAAGTGAGCTGAAATTTCTCATTTGTAAAATGAAGATATTTAATTATGTGATCCCTAAGGCCTCCTCCACTTTGAAAGTCCTATGATTCCATGATATAGCTAATATAGTGTACAAAAAGTGACTACACACGCTTGTGTAATTGAAATGTAGGGCTTATTAAAAAGTGATAAACAGCTCCCCCTAGGGTGGAAATCCTGAATTAGAATTGATTGGGGTAGAATAAAATTAAAAAGTGCTCAAATTCTAATCCCATTAATTATTCCTCAAAAGCATGTAATATAAAAGAATTTCTAAGACATGATAAATAATCTAAATAGCAATATAAATTTGAATATCAGAAAAGTAAACATCCAAATTATAATTGGTCCACACATATTTTTGTACTTCTGTAATAGAGGTTCAGCATACGCCTAGACTACCTAAGAGGGTTTTTACCCAACTAGATATTAGGGGATCTGCTTCTCAGAGACTGGATAGCTGAGATCTGTGGACATTCTGCAGCTGGCTTGTCAACTTCTTCCATTGGCTGCATAGCCAAAACTGTCTGTGTCTCTAAAGGTGCCTGGCTGAGTACTCTTCAGGGCTTTTTCCTGCATTCCATCAGAGTGTGAACGCCTTAACTCACCGCAGGGGGAGGGCCGGAAAGGGTTTCTTCTTCCTCTCCTCCACCTTAGGCTATGTAATCTCAAGAAATGGCCCTGGGGTTTTGGCCTTCTTATTCGTGTTTTTTGTGAAAGATAAAGGTAGTACAGTCATGGGGATCTGGTAGAACAGGAATGCAGGTCAGATATTGCAATAAGCCTAGCAGAAGAGTCCTAAGGAGCAGACGTCTAGGTCAAGGACCTAACAGGGATTTGGACCTGAATTTGCTGGCATTAATGCTATTTTGAGCTAAACTATGAGCCCAACCCCCATTCTTTCCCCAAGATGTAGGTGGTATGGGGAGAAGGGGATTCTACCTCTGAAGTTCTAAAGGAAATGTTTGGATGCTTGTTCCTGCTATCACTGAAATCAATATCTCTTTACAAAAGTGAATCAGATATTTGGTGGGTAAATGGAAATCGAGTGCTAGTCACTGGGCCCCCAAAATTGGAAGCTCTCACCAGTGACAGAGAAAAGTCATCTCAGGGCACCAGAGAACCCTGTCATTGTAAAACAACGGACCCAGCCCTCAGAGAGTGGAGCCAGAACGTCCATGTTGCACTTCACTATGGTTAATTACAAAGCTGCCTTAACAACAAAATCAAAGTCTGAAAATGATATTCATGTGTTATTCTGCTATTTTAGTAATGCCTACAAAAGACTCACACACAGAACAGAGAGCTTCAGAAATAGGGGACATAGTTCGGAGGTCTCTACAAGGGCCAAGAGTAGCAGAATATCTTGAACCCACAAGTTAAGTAAGGGAATGGTCAATGATGCTTATAAAGCATTACAGTTGGGCAACATTAATATTATATGTACCATTGACCCCTTTAGATCAAATATAATCATGTAGAGTAGTTAGATTCATTAGACTACAGTTTCACATCAGTCATGCTTTTAAAAAAAAAGGCATATATAAGAAATGATGAACA